TTTTTCTTTATGCGATTCAGTTCCACGCATTTGATGAAATTAAAAGCATCAGATGAGAAAATTGTAATTGAAAAAAGTGAAAAGAGTGATGTGAATACTCGAATGGGAATCAAAACAATCAAAGATGAGGTATTAAATTACTAATAAATATCGTCTGATAAACATTAATCAACGTCTTTTTTGTTAAATTTCCAAGTGAAAATGGAATAGATTAACTAATCAGAATCACGGAGTAAATGTTATGAAAAGTACGTAAATTATAAAACAAATACGTCTTCTTAGAAAATTTTTTCATATTTTTATAATACGAAATTTGTAATTTCTTTTTATCTTTATCGATTAAAAATTTTATGCAAAATAATCAGTCGATATTTTGGCAACAATTTGTAAATTATAAAATTATAGAAGGAGTATAAAATCATTAGAAGAGATACTTGTGATAATACTTATTTCAATACAAATAAAAAGTAAATATTATTATTTTTAAAAAACTACTGCTATCATTTTTTTAAACAACATAATTTTTTTTTTTTTTTGAAAAATATCATTTAAAAAATTGTGTTTATTTTTTCATCCAAAAATTAACAATAAAATTTCATCTTTTGTCATTAATTTAATTTTGATAATTTCATTGTTATCAATAGCTAAAATATTCCTATTTCTACTTTTAACAATTCATGCATTTAAAATAAAATAAGCAATAAGCTGGTTCCATTCTTGTCTTTTATTTAGAAACTCCAAAAAATTCGGATTTTCCAAAAAAAAAAAAAAGTAATTGATGCGAATTAGGAAGAATAGAAGAAAGATAATGATTAATTCTGTTAAAATAATTAGCATATATTTTATGCTTATGAAATGATTAAAATTTATAACGTGAACAGACAGTTAACTTCAGATCAATTTGGAATGCAAAAAAAAAAAAAAAAAAGCCATATCATCGATTTTTCCGCTTGAGCAGCTGACGGGAGCTTTCATTTCCTCGAAGATTTATCCATCAAGCGACCTTCACAACATTCTTTTCATTTCCTCAAATTTTCAACTTTTCATTTTCTTTTCACATCACTGACTATTCATACATTTTTTTTTATGCTGACATTTTCAATCATTTTAATCATTCCTTATCAATACATTCATATCTTCTCTGATTATCAATTCTTATCAGTACGTTGATATTTTATCTAGTCAGTCTCTAGCAATCTAATCAGCTCCTATCAATGCCAACACATTCTCTGATAGATCCTTATCAATACATTGATATCCTCTCCGATCGATCCTTATCAATACATTGATATCTTCTCTTGATTAATCCTCATCAGTATATTGATATTTTCTCTAATTAGTCCCTATCAATACATTAATACTTTCTCTGATCATTCATTCAGTACACTGATATCTTCGCTGACTAATCCTTATCGATACATTATTGATATTTTCCGTCTTTTTAATCATTCCTCATTAACATATTGATATTTTCCTTCATTTCCATCATCTCTTCTCATTACTAACAACAACAACAACAACAATAACAATATTTGTAGATCAATATTACGTTACTGTTGAAAGAAGAGGACGAAGAAGCCGCTTCACTTATCGATGGCGTATCACAAAGTGACGATACGCTACAAAAATTAGATGAATTGAAATAACTTTTTCCTTTTATATTCTTAAGCATTAATTATAAAAAATAAAAAAATTTTTAAAAATTCTTATTTCTATTATTTCTAATTGCAAATTTGTTTCAAAAAAAAAATTTTTTTTATGATTTTAATAATAATTAGCATTACAATTTTATACATCAATCATATAACAATTGAACTTTAACACTTTAGATAGTCCTTTATTAATTCAAGAAAAATTTAACTTAGGTAACTTATGATGCTAACCTAAGGTGCATTGAATACTTGAGAGTATATGGACAGACAGACACTAGCAGATGTGTACACAAACATACGAACAAACTGATAGAAAGAATTAAGATTAGATACTATTTCTGTTGTAAGGATGACCTCATTCCTGAAAGTATATGACCTTTGCATAAATTGGATTGAATTTGAGGTGTTCTGATTTATTCAACTTTTCAATGCAACTAAGGAGATGGATGATCCATGAGGCCCAGAAATGATGGAAGAGGAGGAGGAAGGAAGAGGAGGAGGAAGGAAGAGGAGGAGGAAGGAAGAGGAGGAGGAAGGAAGA